TATATACACACACACACACACATATATATGTATATATAATAATTGAAACAATCCAGCTTCTGCAAGTAGTTGCTATGAGTAAGTTATTTATGCATAGTAACTAGAAAAAGGAAAGGGCTTCACAGATTCTCCAGTCTACTTTTTTTTCTGTAACTACCTTACTGATTCATGTACCGTATAAACCTCACCCTTTTAAAGTATAGAATTTATTTAAGTTGTTAAGGATTGCATTTTACTTGGATTCATAATCATTGGCCATGGAAGCAGCAGTCAAGAAATCAGACAATGTATTGCATTGGACAAATCTACTGCAAAAGACCTCTTTAAAGTGTTTCAGAACAAAGATGTCATCTTGAAGACGAAGGTGTACCTGACCCGAGTTTCATATACTCTGAAAGCTGGACAGTCAGTAAGGAAGACTGTAGAAGAATTGACACATTTGAATTACAGTGTTGGCAAAGAATATTCGATATACCATGGACTGCCAGAAAAAGAAACAAATCTGTCTTCGATGAAGTACAGTCAGACTGCTCCTTAGAAGCAAAGATGGCTTGACTTCATCTTAATTACTTTGGACATGTCATCAGGAGGGCCAGTCATTGGAGAAGGACATCACATTTGGTAAGGTAGAGGGTCAGTTAAAACGAGGAAGACCCTCAACAAGATTGAGACAATGGCTACAACAGTGGGCTCAATCACTGCAGCAGTCTTAAGGATGATGCAGACAGTGCTTTGTTCTGATGCACTGGAACTGACTCAGCAGCATTTAACAGCATACTTCCAGAATTGTGGATCCATCACCACTCTCTAGCTCTAGAACATTTTTCATCACCTCTCCCCCAAAAAACCTCATAGCCATTAGCAGTCACTTCCTATTCCCTTCTAGTCTATTTTTTTCTGTATTTTAATCATTTGCATATATCCTCACAATTTTGCAATTTCCACATATCACTTACTGGTTTTTTTATATTTTTATTTAAATCTACTTATGCTTTCACAAAAATATCCTTAATACCACAAGTGTGATACTCTAGGGAAATTTTTTCTAATACGTATCAAAATGGATATGTAACTACCAAAATAGTGTTCACCTTTGTACCATCTGAAATTTCATACCACACTTTAGGGAACATTGATTTATACAGTTCGCTTACTTAAAGATTGAATGCCTAAAAGCCCAGGGAAATTACATGACTACCCCAAGTTTGCACAGCTGATAATGAAAGCTGGAAATCAAATCCAGCCTGCTTCATTGCTAATCCTCTTCTCATTCTGGGGTACTGTGGTACCATAAATGGTTAAAGGACTGTTGGAGAACAAAGAGAGTTAGGGAGGAATCAGGAGGCTTTGTGAAAGGGCAGTGGTATTCAAACCAGACCTTAAAGGGTAAGTAGGATTTTGGCCTGTAGAGATAGTGGAGAGTAAAATCCCAGGATTAAAAAGAAACGTATATATCTGTTTCTCAACCTCTGGGTCTTCTGTAGAGAAGGATTAATGGAGGCCCAGTGGGGCTCTGGACCCCCACCCCCATTTTAAACAGATCTTTTAGCTGTTTTATGTATTGGAGTTTTACATAAGATTTTTATTTACAAAGGGCTTTATTGCTAACATCATGAAACCTACTGAACTGGAACACACAGTGCATGAGGTAGAGAAAGGCTAAAAGCTAAAGTAGAGCCCACATTGCAGAGAGTCTGCATAGACAACCAAACATGTTCTTCTTAGGAACTGCAGGGATTGTTTGAGTTGGGAAGGACATCATCGGTGCTCTAATTGGGTATTCCTTGAGAATATTTCCTGTCTTTAGATTGTAAGTTAGAAAAGACCAGAAGCGGGGTATCTTGGTTCTCTCACACCCTAACTAACTGCCGTTGAGTCAGACCCGACTCATAGTGACCACTCTTTGGGTTTCCGAGGCAGCATCACTACAGAAGTAGATTGCCCAACCTTCCTTCCAAGGAGTGGCTGGTGGGTTTGAACTACCAGCCTTCTCATAAGCAGTCAAATGCTTTAGGCACTATGCCACCAGAGCTCCTAGTGCTGCCATAACAGACATACCACAAGTGGATGGCTTTAGCAAACAAGAATTTATTCTCTTATGGTTTAGGAGGCTAGAAGTTCAGTCAGAGTACTGGCTCTAGGGGTTAGGGGAAGGTCCCTCAACCTTGGGCATCAGCTGTGCCTCTTATTTCAGGCCCACTAGAGCTAGAGGCATCTCCTAATTCAGGGCAGCTGCTGGCTGCTGAGGCTGACAAACCCAAGATCAACAGGTAAAAATGGCACAGTCCTAAGATCATCAGATAACGCAGGAACTGGAGATGAAGAGTAAGCCAAATGCAGGATCCAAATGTGCCAAAAGCTAGAGACCTTTCTCAAAGCTTCTCCATATATTCTGGAAGCAGGTCACACGCCAAAGGCAGTTCCCTTTCTGCTGATTAATGTCTCATAGCAGATTCCACCATGGAGGTGATTACAATCACATGATGGGAGATAACTACATCCAGCTGCCAGGCCACTCAAGACCATGGCCCAGCCAAATTGACACACAGCCTTAACTACCTCATTAGGAGAAGTTATAACAGTAGTCTAGACTATTGTTATATGAATTGTTCCATTCCATTCTCACTGCAGCTTTGCAAGGCAGAATTTATTATCCCCCCATTTTATAGACGAAAACACAAAGGATTAAAGAGGTTAAGTAACTTGCTCTAGAGTTCAGTCCCTAAGTGTTGAAGCAGAGACTTGAATTTGTTCATGTGACCTCAACTTCCATGCTTTTGCTGTATGGAAGGTGTGGAGGGGAGATATTGGTCAAGGAGGATGAAGGAAAGGAAGAGTCAACAATGGCTGAGGCCTTGAGAGTAGGTAGTCATGTGAACGGTGGTGGCTTTGGCAGAGAACTGGATGCTGGAAGGAGGAGCGGATTTGGATGGGAAGGTTATTTCTCCTTACAGCAAGTTGGCATTGAGGAGAGATCCAGTAGGCAGCCAGAAATGCAGGTTTGGAGGTGAAGATTTTGGTAATAATAATAATAATAATTGCTCATATTTTTTGAATCACAAACATAGATAGTATGAAGCTCACGAGGTGTTAAAATTTGAAGTGAACCAAATTCACTCCTTTTTCAAGCATGAACAACAACCCAACCCAGAAAAGAGCATTATCAGTTATCAGAAGCCACACAGGTGAAAAACGTGTGTTTATATTAAATATGAATGTGTAAGTCTGTAAATTTCTTAGAGTAATTGCATTTGAGGTGTATTTTTTGAGACTGTACATACTTTAAGGAATCCTGGTGGTGCAGTGGTTTAAAAGTTTGGCTACTGAACTGAAAGGTTGCCAGGTAGAGCCCACCAGCTGCTATATAGGAGGAAGATGTGGCAGTCTGCTTCTGTAAAGATTTACAGTCTTGGGGTAGCTGTGAGTCACACTGAACTCCACGGTAGTGAGTTTATACATACTTCTGCATACAGGATTGCCACACATCTTTCCAGCATCTCTTGGGGGTAACTAAGCCTTTTTTTTTTTTTTTTCTTTTTAAACTATTCTTATTGAGAATACAGCCGATTCTGTACTCAGAAAGGAAGATGGGAATACTTCATCTTATGTACTTTGGGCATGTGCAAAAAGGGAGTGGGGGCGGCATCTTCTGACCTAAATTAACTTCCCAAGAGGGAGACAAATCACTATCAGCAGCCCAAGGCTTATTCCTATGAGGCCAGACATGTTGCCACCCTCTAACCTTTTTTGCCATTACTGACAACAGCCATCCCTCCCACGGCACTCACTACTTCTCTGCTGGGTTCTGTAATTCATTGCAGTGACCACACAGAACTCACAGACAGTACTCATGATTATGGGGGTTTTTTAGGGAAATAACAGGCTACAACTCAGGTTCAAGAACACGCTCAGGACAGTTTTTCAATCAGGTCAGTCTCCCTTCTGCTATGCCCTCAGGCAAGCCTCTCTGGCCCTTCACCTCTCAGCCTGGCCTCTGCCCTGCTTGGGCAAGTGTTACAGAGCTCTCTTGGTTTTGCTGATAGCTACACTGTGTGCCCTCCACTCTGCCAGCAAGCCTCCTGCCCAGTGGCACTTAGCTTTCTTGCTCTGTGAGGCAGGCAAGCCCACTGCTGTGTCTTGTGCCTCTTGGTTCCACTGCCACTGTTGGCTGGATGTCTCTGCCAAGGAGGTCCAACACAGGGATCTCTGGTCCAAGGACACATTCCACTCCACCTCCAGCTCTTCTCTCTTAATGGCAGTGAGGTCCCCTTCTCTGCTTCTAGAAGGGCTCATTTTATGCCCAGCAGCATAGCACAACTAACCAATCCTCACATTAGTGTTCTACATACCTTATTTGCATTGTCCCACCTGGTAATCTGGTGGTAGCTACAAAGACTTTGGCTAGAAAAGCCATACCAAGTAATTCACTGCACCACAACATAGTTATCAGGAGGGAGTCCCTAGAAAAGGACATTATGCTTGGTAAAGTAGAGGGTCTGCAAAAAAGAAGACCCTCAATGAGATGGAGTGACACATGGCTGCAGCATGGGCTCACATAGCAGCAGTTACAAGGATGGCACAGGACCGAGCACTGTTAATTTCTGCTGTGCATGGGGTCACTGTGGGTTGGAACTGACTCAGTGGCACCTAACAACAACATTAAGAAGAGGGGTTAAATGACTTCCCCAAGGCCACACAGGGTTTAAGATAGGTTGGGAATATAGAAAGGAAGCCTGGGAATGTATTATTATAAATGTTTTCTTTTTAAATGACTTACAGAGTTATCGGAATAAATACCTTCTATTTCTGCTTTTAGTTTTATGTTGTATAATAAGAACTGCCCAGAGTTTGAAGAACCATGTGAGGAAATCAGCCAGGATGTAGCAGGAGTATCAGAGCATGACTCAAGTTACAGTCTTCTCTCTTTAATGCTCTGCTTTCCAGGGAATGGTGGCTGTGTCTGGCAGCCTGTCAGTGCTTCTGGATTCCATTATCTGTGCACTTGGCCCCTTGGCTTGTCTGACCACACAACTACCTGAGTTGAATGGCTGTCCTAAACAGGTCTTGGTGAGTTTTCTTTGGATTTTTTTGGGCAGCCCCCATAGGAACCAGAGAATCCCTGGCTCACTAAGCGCTGTCAGGCACGGGCTTAGTGGGGTCCTGGTGCATAGTGCTCCCTTCATACCTCGGCCCTTGGACCATGGTGCTAACATGATATTGTATTGTGAGAAAATGTGTGCTGTGCTTGCAGTGAAGCTTGGCAGTGTGCCATTTTCCAAAATAGAGATGTGGTCCAGCCCTTGACTTTCTGCAATCCCATGTTGTCTTTGTTTTTGTACATACGAGGATTAATGGCAGACATGAGCAGAAAAGCTCCCAGCATAGCAGACAGCAGGATGCCAGCTTCATTCTCATCCTGTTTTCTCTAACTCTGGTTTTTCTTCCTTGTCCTTTTCCTTTGAAAACAAAACCATTTCTCAGGGAACCAAGGTAAAATACTCTTCAATTGAACCTTTTTTTCCTTGTTTTACAGTCAAATACTCTAGACAACATTGCTTACATCATGCCTGGACTCTGACAGCAAAGAATCCTGGGACAGAAACCTTATCCTCCCCACTGCTGGCTTGTGTGTATGTGACTGTTCCAAATCCCTTCACTGGCCTCAGTGTAGGTTTTAAATTTTTATGTATGTATATACGTATGTATATAAATAATGTACAATATATACATAGGACTTTAAATACTTTGCTTTTAATAATTTTACGAAGTGGCAAAAGTTTAGCCAAGAGAAAACCTTAGAACGAATCTGGGCTTGGGGTTCTTTTTTCTCCTATGGTGGATAAATCTGCCTTAAAAATCAGTGTAACTTGGAGGCTGGGGGTTTGTGTTGGGTGCCAAGTGCATCTCTTTATTGACTGCTAAAATGTGATTTTTCCAAAGTCAGTTGTACCTCCAGACCCATCACTGACCACTTGCCTTATAGTCTGAAATTTAATAGGAAAGACAGTTATGGGAAGATGCCAACCAACTGAAAGTACAAAGCTTGAAGTGATCCAGGCAGGAGGTGATAAAGTCCTTCCTCCCTGTTACCGAAATGGCTTAGGTGAACTGTGTAGGGGTTCATTCCAGTTTCTGCTAACCATATGTCCATGTCTCAAAATTCATTGTAATCGCTGGTACTTTGGCAGCCTCAGTAGAAGCCACGGAGTTAGGGGAACCTGGCAGCATCAAATCCTTGGAGAGGATAAAGCTGCCAATGTCACCAGTTGAACTGCATGTATTCTGAGTTGACCCAGACTGTTATGGTCTGCAAAACTAAGAGCTGGTATCTTTCATTGGCAGCATTAACTTAGCCACTGAGTCCTCACAAGTTCTGCTGCTTGGTTGCTTGGTGGTTGTAGATAAAGATAAGCTTTGCCCAGCAAGATTCTTATGTTCGTCTTACTGGTTCCCCTGGTGGGTAGATACGGTGTTCTGTGTTCCATATGTAAGTGAACTGCAAAAAGAGTACTCGATTCTCACGGAGGTTTATTTATGTACGTGTGTGAATGTGTGTTTTAATTATGTGTATTTAACTCTTTAAAATCTCTTAGATGTTAATTTATCCTGTAAATTTCTGTATATATAATTTAATAACAAAACTCTCCACCAGCAGCAGCATGTGGAAGATAGATGTGTCACTTGTTCTTTCCTTTCTTCCTCTGTCTGCTCTGAAAACTCCGAATCGTCTACATTGTTAAGCATTCTGCCTCAAGAAAGAATAATTATGTTGGGATTCGAATTCTTTATAAAGACCTTCATGGCCTTCAATAATGTTAAGGAAGAAAAATAAAAAATAAAAAGGATTGTTACTATTCACAGCCACCCTTATTTCCAAAGAACTGTTTCCAAAAAACAGACTTTTGCTTCCCAGTTAGAGAGAAGACAATTGAGCACTTCAGGGTTGTTTGTATATCTGGTGAGAGATTACCTGCCAAAACCCAGCTCTAAGGTAACTGTGCTTTTTCCCCTGCCCTAGATGGAGCACTATGTCATCAAAGTAAGTCCTTGGGGACAGTGCAGCCAGTCTCCATCCTGTTCATTCCTTCCCCTTCTCCCCAGCAGTGTTATCATAAGGCTGTGTTTCTTAAAGGTATTCTGGCTGCTGAATGCCTTTCTTGGCTCAGAACAATTTTTGAGATTTAACCAGGGAAACAAAGAAGGAATCAGGAATGTTTGGGAACCAAAATCACAAAGAACGGAAATCTTGGCGTGATTACTTGGGTTAGATCCTCATACCACACCTCATCTGTACCCATGGAAGCTTCCTGTTTGACACAGGGTATTCACAGAGGGGCCTTGAAGACATGGATTAGTACAGAAGGAAATCAGTCCTACCATTGTCATTTGTATGCTTTCATGAAATCCTGATGAGGCCTGCTTTTTGTTTTTTTTCTTTTGAAACCCAACCCTATTGTATTTGTATTTAAAATTTGTACACATTTGTATAATAATCTGTACCTTGTAGTATTTGGTACTATTAGAGAAAAAACTTTGGATTCAGACCTTCTTGCAGTTTTTATATCATTGTTTTATTTTTGTTTTTTAAATATTAGTGGTTTGATCCAGATCCCATTATAATTGTATAAAGAAATAAAATTTTGTACTTATATTATTAAAAATCACATTTTTAATACTTGTAGTCCAGCCTCACCTATCTTTTCCCTCCTGCTAACCAAAGTTACTACAAACTCATAAAACCTTCATTTTTCACATTATATTCTACCAAAATTTTCAAAAAAAAAAGACTTCATCCTGGAATAGAGATCAAGTTTCTAATTTTAGACATATTCCTAACATACACCTTGCTCTATTTCTATTAATTTTTGAGTTGGGAGCTTCTCATTTTTCCTTTCTTGCAAATTGCAAATCCAGTGACTCTCAGAACTGTGGCTCTGTTCATTGGCAAATGAAACTGTAGAAAAGTTGCAGTGTTAACCTAAATCAAGAAAATAGCCATCAGCCCTGTGGAAGAGTTTATTGCATCTGAGTCATGTGCTGATATATATCCATGCTGTTTCAGCACCATCCTGACTTTAGTCAATGATGTTGAATAAATCACTTAATCTTTATAAGCTTCCAAATTCCATCAAAAAATAGTTTAATGTCACCTCCCTGTCTCTAAGCCTGCAACTAGCCAGTGTGACATGAATGTTGAGAAAGTAATATTATGAACATTAAGTACATGGAGATTGGCACTTCGAGATAAAATTTGCAGTGCAAACACGAGGTATTAAAAGGCATAAATAGTGAACTCGTGATTGATTAAAAGTCAGTCTAATGGAGAGGCAGCAAGAAAGAGACCACCATATTGCTGAATAACTTAGAGTGATTCACACTTTATCTCATTTAATCCTCCAGAAACCATATGAGGTGCATTCCCTTCCTCTACAGATGAAGAAACAGATGCAGAAAGTACTTTTTCTAAGTGCACACAGCTATGAATAGTAAGCCAAAATAAGAACACTGATACAGCTGACCCCAAAGCCTAGGGTCTTTCCACCCTAAGGTGACACTTTCAAATTTAAATTGTTATGTAATTCATTAGGATCACGTCTCCATTATGTGTAGTCCTGAGCAAATGTGATTATAAAAGTGCTTAAAGGGTATAATAGATCGCATTACATCTATGTAGTATGTCAGTCTTAACAGATATAATTATTTTTATGCTCAGGAAGGTATTTGATACTAATATTACTAATACACATAATAACCACCGCTCATCTGTCATTTTGTCATACTGGGTGACTTGCATGTTGCTATGAGGCTGGAGGCTATACCACCAGTATTTCAAATACCGGCAGGGTTACCCATGGTGGACAGGTTTCAGTGGAGCTTCCAGACTAAGACAGACTTGGGAGAAGGAAGAGGCCATCCACTTCTCAAAGAACTGGCCTGTGAAAACCTTATAAATAGCAGTGAGACACTGATAAATTACTGAAAAACTTTATGAATAACCCTGAAACATTGTGCAATATAGTGCCAGAAGATGAGTCCCTCAGGTCAGAAGGCACTCAGAATACAACAGGGGAAGAGCTGCCTTCTCAGAGTAGAGCCAAACTCAATGTGGATGGAGTAAAGCTTTCGAGACCTCCATTTGCTGATGTGGCACGACTCAAGATAAGAAGAAACAGCTGCAAACATCCATTAATAATCAAAACATGGAACATACAAATCTAGGAATATTGGGGGTTGTTAAAAATGAAGTAGAATGCATAAAGATCGATATCCTAGACATCAATGAGCTGAAATGGACTGGTTTGGGCCATTTTGAATCAGACAACCATATGATCTACTGTGCCAGGAATGACAAATTGAAGATGAATGGCATAGCATTAATTGTTACAAAGAATATTTCAAGATCTATCCTGAAATACAGTGCTGTCAGTGATAGGATAATATTCATACGCCTACAATGAAGTCCAATTAATACTGCTTCTATTCAAATTTATGCACCAACCACCAAAGCCAAAGCCAATTAAACTGTTGGTTTTTAACAACTTCTGTAGTCTGAAGTTGAAATGCACTCAAGATGTGTTGATTATCACTGATGATTGGAATGCAAAAGTTGGAAACGAAGAATCGCCAGTAGTTGGAAAATATGGCCTTGGTGATAGAAATGATGCTGGGGATTGCATGGTAGAATTTTGGAAGACCAGTGACGTTATTCACTCAATTACCTTTTTTTCAGTAACATAAATGGTGTCTGTACACGTGGATTTCACTGGATGGCGTACTCAGGAATCCGATTGACTATATATCTATGGAAAGAGGCAATGGAGAAGCTCACTATCTTCAACCAAAACAAGGCCTGGAGCTGACTGGAACAGACCATCAACTGCTCATATGCAAGTTCAAGTTGAAGCTGAAGACAATTAAAACAAGTCTACGAGAGACAAAATATGACCTTCATTATATCCCTCCTGTAGAGACCATCTAAAGAATAGATTTGATGCATTGACCACCAGGGACCAAAAACCAGAGGAATTGTGGGATAAAATCAAGAACATCATCCATGAAGACAGCAAAAAAATCATTAAAAAGACAGGAAAGGAAGAAACAGCCAAAATGGATGTCAGAAGAGACTCTGAAACTTGCCCTTGAACAGAGGGCAGCTAAAGTAAATGGAAGAAATTATAAGATAAAAGAGCTGAACAGAAGATTTTCAAGAGCAGCTCGAGAAGACTAAGTCAGTTATTATAATGAAATGTGCAAAGACTTGGAAAACCAAAAGGGAAGAACACACTCAGCATTTCTCAAGTGGAAAGAACTGAGGAAAAAATTCAAGCTTTGAGTTCCAATACTGAAAGCTTCTATGGGCAAAGTATTCAATGATGCAGGAATCATCAGAAGAAGATGGAAGGAATACACAGAGTCACTGTACCAAAAAGAATTGGTAGATGATCATCCATTTCAGGAGGTGGCATATGATCAAGAACCAATGGTATTGAAGGAAGAAGTTGAAGCTCCACTGAAGGAATTGGCAAAGAACAAGGCTCCAGAAATTGACGGCATGCCAATTGATATGTTTCAACAAACAGATGCCGTACTGGAGGCACTCACTGATCTATGTGAAGATATTTGGAAGGCAGCCACCTAACCAACTGACTGGAAGACATCCATATCTGTGCCCATTCCAAAGAAAGGTGATCCCACAGAATGCAGAAATTATTGAACAATATCATTAATACCTCACACAAGTAAAATCTTGCTGGAAACAATTCAAATATGATTGCAGCAGTATATTGACAGGAAACTTCAGAAATGCAAGCTGGATTCAGAAGAGGACGTAGAAGGAGGGATATCATTGCTGATGTCAGATCGATCCTGGCTGAAAGCAAAGAATACCAGAAAGATGTTTACTTGTGTTTTACTGACTATGCAAAAGCATTTGTTTGTGTGGATCATAACAAATTATGGATAACATTGAGAAGAATGGGAATTCCAAAACACTTAATTGTGCCCATGATGAACCTGTACATAGACCAGGAGGCTGTCATTCAAACAGAAAAAGGGGATACTGCATGGTTTAAAATCAGAAACAGAGTGCATGAAGGTTGTATCCTTTCACCATACTTTTTCAATCCATATGTTGAGGAAATAATCTGAGAAGCTGGACTATATGAAGAAGAACATGGCATCAGGATTGGAAGGAGACTCATTAACAACCTGTCAAATGCAGATGACACAACTTTGCTTGCTGAAGGTGGAGATGACTTGAAGCACATACTGATGAAGATTAAGGACTGTATAGTCTGCAGTGTGGATTACATCTCAACATAAAGAAAACCAAAACCCTTACAACTGGGCCAATAAGCAGCATCATGATAAATGGAGAAAAGATTGAAGTTGTCAAAGATTTTATATTGCTTGATTCCACAATCAACATCATGGAAGCAACAGTCAAGAGACCACACTTTGTATTGCACTGTGTAAAATATGCTGCAAAAGACCTCTTTAAAGTGCTGAAGGGCAAAGATGTCTCTTTGAAGACTAAGCTGCACCTAACCCAAGGTATGGTATTTCCAATCACCTCATATGCTTGTGAGAGCTGGACAGTGAATAAGGAAGATCAAAGAAGAGTTGATGCTTTTGAGTTGTGCTGTTGATGAAAAGAACTAACATCTGTCCTGCAAGAAGTGCAGCTGGAATGCTCCTTGTAAGTGAGGATGGCCAGACTTTGTTTGACCTACCTTGGTCATGATGTCAAAAAGGATCATTTCCTGGAGAACGACATCATGCTTGGTAAAGTGGAGGGTCAACAGAAAAGAGGAAGACCCTCAATGGGATGGATTGACACAGTGGCTGCAACAATGGGCTCAGGTGTAGCAAGTATTGTGAGGCTGGCACAGGACTGGGCAATGTTTTATTCTGTTGTACACAGGGTCACTGTGAATCAGAGCTCACTTGACAGCACCTAATAACAACAACAATACACATAAAAGGAAAAACTAAATTGAAACATACCTTTCACTAAATAAGTTTGTTCCTTACTAGCACACACTTTTAAAGCAGTTTTAATCCATTTTGTACTACACTAAATGTTTGCCATTCACATTCCTGTCTGCTGTGTTGACAAATTTCACATACTTCCATTTCTGTTATAATACTCCATTTATATGGAGTTAATGTAATTCATTTTGGAATATGTGGGTTTCCAATTTTAAATTTTGGAAGCAAAGTATCTCGATTTTTGTCTGAAAGTATTTAAAGAATACAACAGATTACATTTATGTTGTATGTCAGTCTTAACAGATGTGTTTAGCTTCAGAAAGGCATTTAATGTTAATACAGATGCTTTATTTTTGGCCATTAAGCCTAGCTTCTTCAGCTCATAATCACTTTAAACCAGAGTGAAGAAAGAAGGCAACAATTTCTGGCAAATCACCACATAACATGGGGATGTGAAAGGTGGTTCATGGAAGAATCCAAAGGAATTTCATGCTAAATATTCTCGATACAACCAGGCAATGTTGCTTAAATGAAGAAAGACGTGAAGTACCTGATAGGAGGATCATCTTAAATGTACTTCCCCCCTTATATAATCCAGATACTATTCTTGAAATGGTATTGATTGATTTAAATTGTCATATGCTAGTCACTGTGCAACAGCAAAATAGACGTAGCATCCCAGCCCACATGGAGCATCGAGATTAATGGGGGAAAGGGCATTTATTGACAGGTCACCTGAGAATTATTACAGCACTGCAAAGCACTGGAGTACGTGAGTTCCACACAATTTTTACAAGATGTTAGTCACTATGGCTGCTGAAACCAATTAGTACATAGAGGTGATTATGTTGGAAGTTGGTTTTCCGTCACCTTAGTGTGAGGATGGAAGCTCTAGTACCGTAGTGCCTAAGGCTCTTGACTGCTAACCAGACGGCTGGCGGTTCAAACCCGCCAGCCACTCCTCGGAAGGAAGGTTGGGCAATCTACTTCATAGTGATACCGCCTCGGAAACCCAAGGAGGGGTCGCTATGAGTCGGTTCGACTCGAGGGCACATACCAACAACAAAGGTGTGAGGATGACGCAGGACCGTGCGGCGTTCCCTTCTGCCCTGCATGGGGTAGCTATAAATCAAGAGGCAACAGGCCGGCACCTGACAACATCAGAACTGCGCAGAACTCATTTACCAGTTTTTCATATTTAAAAATCACAGCCATCATGATCACTAAAATTAAAGCACCCTGCAGTAGCCCAAACTACCAAGGCAGTGAGTGGTACTTTTATCTTTTGGAGTGTGTGTCCTTAGGGGACAATGAAAAAAAAAACAACTAAATAGATCAGAGAGCTAATGTGTAAGGATAGCATGTCTGAAACAAGGTACATAGCCAAGAAGGTTGATGAAGAGATTAGAATCACTAAGCTGAGGCCTTTTGAGATACTTAACGAGGGGTCCACTTTTGTACTTAAGGGACACTATAAACTCCCTGAGGTTATAAGAAAATTGTGCCTGTCTTTTCCTCAGAAAGGCTCATCTTCATGGTTTATTCAAATTCTCAAAGGAGCCTGTGACCCAAAAAAAAACCACGTTAAGAATCCTCAATCTAATTCCAACATCCATGGGAGAAAATGGAAGTGCACTGTTTTGATCACTCAGAAAATTAATGGTAGAGGCAGACCTCAGTCCCTGCTTTTTGCCACCTCGTGTGCTAGCCTGTCTCTAGCTGCAATTCACTGAGTTGGCGCTGGGTTCCAAAGGGTCACAAACCCCTAACCCTCGCCTTCTATTTGAGGTAAGCAAAAAAAGCCTCCGTATCTTGGAGCAGGGAGACCTTCGTATCAAATAGAAGTCCTATGAGGGCAGAGAGAAAACAAAGCCAGACAGGCTGTCAACTCCAGGGCTCAGTGTTGGGTCACAGGTGGAAGACCCAGTTTTCCAATTGAGGAAAGTGAGATCGTTTGACCAAAGTCAACTAAACCCTTACGCGGAAAAAAAAAAAAAAAAAAAGCTTGAAGGTGTGGCTCAGAAAGGCCCACGCCTCCAGGCGCCCAGCACTCCAAAGTGCGTGGCGTGTTGCGTGACGTCATGCCGACGCCAAGTGATCCACAGTGAGGTCATCACCCTCAGCCTTGGTCTGCCAGACCTTCGTATGTCAGGGGCGGGGCCTGTGCCCAGGCTCCAGATTCCCTTCGCCCCGCCCCCACCGGCGCCTCCTCGCGGGCTTCCGGCGCGTCACGTGACGGATCCGAGGCGCTGGCGGTTGCTGTCAGCTGATTGCTTGGGTTCGCAGCAGCTGCAGCCGCTACGATGGACTTTCTCCTAGGAAACCCATTCAGCTCTCCAGTGGGACAGCGCATCGGTGAGTCCTTGGAGCCTCGCACAGTCCTGTCCCTGTGCTCCGCACCAGGGCTAGGTCCCCTCGGGACACCCTTAGGTCCCCAGTCACTGACTGGTGGGAGGGTGAGAGGAGGAGGAGGAGGAGGAGGTGCGTCTCTACCAGCTTGGCCACGCCCAGTCACCCGCCCCCCTTGATTGACAAGTCATCAATCCATTAGGGAGCCTCTATTTGTGATGGATGGTTACGGTAGCCAATAGACAGAGAGAGAGGGCGGGCTCAGATGACCCTTGCTCAGCCAATGTGTTGGCTGGGGTCCCTATTCTAGGTAGAAAGTTTTCGGGGTTAAAGGGACTGCGTGGTTTTGCAGTCATTGTGCCGCTTGACTGTCCCTCTCGTCGCTTCCCCAGCACGGGTCCCACCTGGGCTCTTGCCGTCTCCTTCTTGGCTAGCCGCGCTCTCAGGACACGGAAACCTGAGAAGGTCTAGAAGTCCATCCTCCTGAAACAGGAGAGACTGGGGCTTACGGGCCCTCCCGGGCCTCGAGCACTGTGAGTCTCAGAGCCAGGCACAGTTCTAGCCGCTGTGAAGCCAGGAAGACCAAGAGGACAGGCCTTAAAGACCAAGGTTTCATGACCTGTTTGCCTTGGCTACTTTTTCTCATATAGAGTCGCAGAATGTTTGAGCTGAAAGTGACCTTAGAAACCACCTGACTCAGCCTCCCTCATTTCTAAGTAGGTGGAACAGCTGAGGCGCTCTGGCTTAAATAGAGCCCAGGTCGCCTGACTCCCGGCTGCTTGTCCTCAGTTCTTGGCACCCATTGACTGGAGACTTACCAGTTCTGTGACTGACTGACCTGTGTTGAGATTTCCTCACCTGTGATATGAGAGTGGTACTGCTAAAGTGTCTCAGAAGAAAGCCCTGGTGATCTACCTCCAAAAAATAAGCTACTGAAAACCCTCTGGAGCATGGTTCTACTCTTGGCACACATACGGTCACCATGAGTCTGAAGCCACTCCACAGCAGTTGGTAGTAGGATAGTGATGGTCCCTGCCCTCTGGGGCTGTTGTGAAGATTAAATGTGTTAATAATTGTGAAGTACTTAGAAGAATATCTGGCACACAGCCAGTGCTATACAAGAAAAAGCTGTTATATTTATTATCATTGTTACAATAAATGAGATACAACCAGGTGAGGGTTGGGAATCCCAGGAAATCTTATAGCTCCTCCTTGCCATGGTCCAAACAGCTAACGTTTTTCCAGGGACAGCCTGGCCGTGTCCCTTTGTTGTGTGAAGAATCTCAGGGCAGTTTCTGTGATGTGATCCCTTCATCTTTCTAAAGTGTATAATACAATGTGATGTCTTCATCTTTTTGGTGACTTTTAGCCTTAAATCCAGACTGGGAGAACCAGATCTTTCACAAAGACATTCTTTCCATCAGTACTGTTTTGGAACTCAAACCTCACTGAAGTCAGTTGAACCAGCTCTGTGACTGTGGCTCTTCTGAGGTTTCATAATTAAGTCTCCCCAAGAGGCGGGTGGCAGTCGAGGGTTACATACCAAGCAACTCGTGGCCTAGAGAGGAGAAGCAGCCCTCAGAGGACCACCGCCCTCTGGGCCACACACACCCCACAGTGAGTCATTGTTTTGGAGCCCAAAAGAGAAGGCAGCTCTCCTCTCGTCTTTATTTCTGCAACTGCAGACACCACTGCTTTTATCGTATGCCAAATTTGAGACTTCCTACCTCAGAAAAAGAAGGAAAAAAAACCTTCCCTTTCAAAGACAGCTGCTTATCCCTGAGGCTTTCTGGAAAAGTTCACCTGGGCTCTGGGACTTTAGCTGGTCACTGTAAAGTTAGCTTCTCTTCTTACTCTGAAGAGTTGCCTGTCTTGGGCAAGAAATAACTTCTGTCCAAAGAGAATGTTACTAAATCATAATACCTTACAGCACAAACCAGTTGTACTAGCTGGAAGAATCCCTGCCTTGGGGATCTTCTAACCCAGTGGTTCTCATCAGAATCCCCCAAAGGGCTTGTTAAAACAGTCAGCTGGGCCCACCCCCAGAGTTTCTGACTCTAGGTCTGGAGTGGAGCATGCATTTCTAACAAGTTCCCAGGTGATACTGATGTCGCTGGTGCAGAGACCACTTGTTGAAAACCTCTGTTCTAGCCCAACTGCTTGGTGACTTTTAGCCTAAATCTAGACTGGGAGAACCAGATCTTTTAGAAAGACATTTTTTCTATCATTACTGTTTTGGAACTCAAACCTCACTAAAGTCAGTTGAACCAGCTCTGTGACTGTTTGTGGCTCTTCTGAGGTTTCATAATCAAGTCTCTCCAGGAGGCTGGTGGCAGTCGAGGGTTACACACCAAGCAGCTCCCGGACCAGAGAAGAGAAGCTCCCCTCAGAGGGCTTCATTATACACATAAGGAGGCTGAGGCTCAGAGAGGAGAAGGCGGAGACTCTAGCACACCCAAGACCCCAGTGAATGGCTTGTTGAGCTGCGGTGAACTCCCCAGAACCACTTAAATTTGAACCGAAGATGAAGAGGCTCTAGAAGTAGAATTAAATGAGAAATACCTGCTTGAGTTAATGCCCCTGGGATTTCATATTCTTCTTTTAGAATAAGAGGCAGGTGATTGGACCTCTGATTATTGATGTTGGACCTAATATTCGCTGCTTGTATTTCTGTAAACCAGACCCCTCTTTACTGCATGAGTAAAATAATCTCTTCTCAAGCCTGCTGAGTCCTGCCACCTTGTCGGCTGAGAGTAAAGCCTCATAGAGTTGGCATCCCTAATATAACTTGGGTTTCTGTGATGGTGCTAATCGGGCTGAGTGTGACTGGATCTGCAGAGTTCTTGTCCTGCACACACACCTTTGTAGTTGCTGCTGCCTGTAATGCCTGCTTCTGCACCCTGGTCTGAGGAGCTCAAACTCAGCCTTCCAGGTGCTGGGCATTGTCACCTCCTCCCTGTGGCCTTTCCTGACCCCTTCACATCCCACCATTGATTTCTTTTACACTCTTATCATTGTAGCTGCTGTGAGTCCTTCCCTGGGTGACTTAGGTTCTGAGCCTCAGCTTCCCCCGTGGAAAAAAAAAAGGAAAAAACAGAAAACCCATTGCCTTCAAGTCAATTCCAACTCATGGCAACCCTGCATGACAGAGTAGAACTGCCCCACAGGGTTTCCAAAGCTGTAATCTTTATGGAAGCAGACTGCCACATCTTCCTCCTGCAGAGCAGTTGGGTTTAGACCAGCCTTTGGTTAGCAGCCAAGGCCTTAACCACTAAGTTGCCAGGGCTCCTTTCCTCCCCTGTAAAACAGTGATGATAATTACTTCACGGGGCAGTCATAGGGTAAAGTGAGATCATCACTGGAGAGCACCTGGCACATTGCCATGTGCAGTAAACATTTGCTGTTGTTGTCATTGTCATCATCATCATTTTTATTGTCTCCACCATAATCACAGCTATAGCCCCATCCCTTTTTATTACTGCCTGTGCCTACATGTCTCCACAGCTGGACCGGACTTTTTTTTTTTTTTTTCCCAAATCATTATTTTTCTCTTCTTATTATGACATAAGAGATATACTTATGTCCAGTGACCATTTTATTTTTAGCCACAAATCAACAACAAAAATCACATTTAAGTATTCAGAAAATCTTTTGAAATCATATATTTCAGGTAAAAGTATTTTTATGATATAAAATTCATATTATTCAATATACTATGATATCCTAATCTACAACTTAGAAATCTGAAGAATGTTCTAAATCTCAAAAATCTCAAACCAGTCATTTTATTTTCTTGGGTTGTAGGAAGATGTATACTATCTATGCCACTATCTTAAAAGGGGTATTATTTGTAATTATTCAATGTGCTATATTGGTTGATTAGATAAGATGATGGTGATGATGACTTTTTTTTTTAATTGTCATTTGGGTGAAAGTTTACAGAGCAAATTCATCTTCCATGCAGCAGTTCACATACACTTTGTCTCATGACGTTGACTGTAATTTCCCACAATGCAACAGCTATCTTCTCACTTCCTTCCCATAGTCACCTCTTCCCTATGTCCTTCCTTCCCACACACTCCTGCCCCCCAAGCTGTCTCTGTGTGCATACATAGCCCTTCTATTCTCCCAGGATTAATCTCTCCAAGGAGTGTATCTACCTAATGTGAATGTTCAGCTCATATGCCTGTCTTTTGTTTGGCTGGAAGCCACAGGAGTGGGTTCAATTCCAGACCTGAAAGACAAGGGCCATAGTCTCAGGGATTCCACCAGGCTCTATCAGACCAGCAAACCTGGTCCCTTTTTTTTTTTTTTTAATGATTTTGAGATTTGTTCCACATTGTTCTCCTACTCTATCTAGGATCTCCTACTAGACCTCCCTCTGAGTGGCTGACAGTGGTAGCTGGGCACCATCTAGTTCTTCTGGTCTCATAGTCATATAGACTGAGGATCGCACGGTGTACCAGTCCCTTGGACTAATCAGTTTCATGTGTCTTTGGTTTTCTTCATTCTTCTTTGCTCTGGACAAGGAAAGACCCATCATTGCATCTAGACGGCCACTTGCAAGCTTTTAAGATCCCATAGGCTGGACTTCTTGAGAGCAAGGACTGTACCAGATTTACCCAACCCCTGGCACCTAACATGGTCCCTGAGAAAAGGGAGGAAAGGAAAGTTACATTTGCTAGTGAATATCATGTGCCACAGATTATGCTAGTGCTGTGCGCTAGCTTTTTGTCTTCACAGTGACTCCATGACCTTTTACTACTTTTACCCATTTCACCAAAAGTAAGTCTTGGGGAGGTATCCCTTCTCAGTTTCACAGCTAGTCAGCTTCAGAGTTGCATTCCAGACACAGGATTCTCCTCTTGTGGAGCCAGTCCTTTCTTGTACCCTCACCACTCTGCCTCTGGCCCATTGATGCTTATTTTGAATTTACATCAGTCTAGGCTGGGAAGATTCACAGTTACTATTCTACCTACCCACAGAACAGCTGTCCAGATTATGAC